GGGCCATTCGGTGGAGCTCCCTATGTGGCCACGAAACGCCTGCCCTGGGTGGGGGAAACCGCATGTGACACCCCCACTGGGGCCTTCGGTGGAGCATTCCCTATAGGGCCACGAAACGCAGCCCTGGTGGGGGAAACCGCATGAGGACACCCCCACTGGGGCCTTCGGTGGAGCTCCCTATGGGGCTACGAAACGCTGCCCTGGGTGGGGGAACCGCATGTGGACACCCCCACTGGGGCCTTCGGTGGAGCTCCCTATGGGGCTACGAAACGCTGCCCTGGGTGGGGGAACCGCATGCGAACACCCCCACTGGGGCCTTCGGTGGAGCTCCCTATGGGGCCACGAAACGCTGCCCTGGTTGGGGGAACCGCATGCGAACACCCCCACTGGGGCCTTCGGTGGAGCTCCCTATGGGGCTACGAAACGCTGCCCTGGGTGGGGGAACCGCATGCGAACACCCCCACTGGGGCCTTCGGTGGAGCTCCCTATGGGGCCACGAAACGCTGCCCTGGGTGGGGGAACCGCATGCGAACACCCCCACTGGGGCCTTCGGTGGAGCTCCCTATGGTGCAACGAAACGCGTGAGAGGAGTGCCGAGAGCAGAGGCAAGGAGGGGAGGAGGAGGTAGAGGGAGGAGGAGGGAGGTAGAGGGGAGGAGGAGGAGAGGAGGAGAGGAGAGAGGAGAGAACCGGGCACCGTCTCTTCAAAACGGGACCGCAACACCACAGGATGGTTGGGAAAAATTAACCTGGCGAAAGACCCAACCATAAGCAATTTTTGGTAACGCGTTGTGGGTGCCGCTTTCGGTGGGGCTCCATATGGGGCCACGAAGCGCTGCCTTGGATGGGGGAACCGCATGCGGACTGCGCCACCGGGGCGGGCCTTCGGTGGAGCTCCCTATGGGGATCGAAACGCTGCCCTGGGTGGGGGAACCGCATGCGAACTGCGCCACTGGGGCCTTCGGTGGAGCTCCCTATGGTGCCACGAAACGCTGCCCTGGGTGGGGGAAGCGCATGCAAACTGCGCCACGGGGGCTTTCGGTGGAGCTCCCCATGGGGCCACGAAGCGCTGCCCTGGGTGGGGGAACCGCATGCGAGAGCAGCCACTGGGGCCTCCGGTGGAGCTCCATATGGGGCCACGAAACGCTGCCCTGGGTGGGGGAACCGCATGCGAGAGCAGCCACTGGGGCCTTCGGTGGAGCTCCCTATGGGGCCACGAAGCGCTGCCTGGGGTGGGGACCGCATATTGCGAACACCCCCACGGGGCCTTCGGTGGAGCTCCCTATGGGGCTACGAAACGCTGCCCTGGGTGGGGGAACCGCATGCGAACACCCCCACTGGGGCCTTCGGTGGAGCTCCCTATGGGGCCACGAAACGCTGCCCTGGGTGGGGGAACCGCATGCGAACACCACCACTGGGGCCTTCGGTGGAGCTCCCTATGGGGCTACGAAACGCTGCCCTGGGTGGGGAAACCGCATGCGAACACCCCCACTGGGGCCTTCGGTGGAGCTCCCTATGGGGCCACGAAGCGCTGCCCTGGGTGGGGGAACCGCATGCGAACACCCCCACTGGGGCCTTCGGTGGAGCTCCCTATGGGGCCACGAAACGCTGCCCTGGGCGGGGGAACCGCATGCGAACACCCCCACTGGGGCCTTCGGTGGAGCTCCCTATGGGGCCACGAAGCGCTGCCCTGGGTGGGGGAACCGCATGCGAACAACCCCACTGGGGCCTTCGGTGGAGCTCCCTATGGGGCTACGAAACGCTGCCCTGGGTGGGGGAACCGCATGCGAACACCCCCACTGGGGCCTTCGGTGGAGCTCCCTATGGGGCCACGAAACGCTGCCCTGGGTGGGGGAACCGCAAGCGAACACCCCCACTGGGGCCTTCGGAGGAGCTCCCTATGGGGCTACGAAACGCTGCCCTGGGTGGGGGAACCGCATGCGAACACCCCCACTGGGGCCTTCGGTGGAGCTCCCTATGGGGCCACGAAACGCTGCCCTGGTGGGGGAACCGCATGCGAACACCCCCACTGGGGCCTTCGGTGGAGCTCCCTATGGGGCTACGAAACGCTGCCCTGGGTGGGGGAACCGCATGCGAACACCCCCACTGGGGCCTTCGGTGGAGCTCCCTATGGGGCCACGAAACGCTGCCCTGGGTGGGGGAACCGCATGCGAACACCCCCACTGGGGCCTTCGGTGGAGCTCCCTATGGGGCCACGAATCGCTGCCCTGGGTGGGGGAACCGCATGCGAACACCCCCACTGGGGCCTTCGGTGGAGCTCCCTATGGGGCCACGAAACGCTGCCCTGGGGTGGGGAACCGCATGCGAACACCCCCACTGGGGCCTTCGGTGGAGCTCCCTATGGGGCTACGAAACGCTGCCCTGGGTGGGGGAACCGCATGCGAACACCCCCACTGGGGCCTTCGGTGGAGCTCCCTATGGGGCCACGAAACGCTGCCCTGGGTGGGGAACCGCATGCGAACACCCCCACTGGGGCCTTCGGTGGAGCTCCCTATGGGGCTACGAAGCGCTGCCCTGGGTGGGGGAACCGCATGCGAACACCCCACTGGGGCCTTCGGTGGAGCTCCCTATGGGGCTACGAAACGCTGCCCTGGGTGGGGGAACCGCATGCGAACACCCCCACGGGGGCCTTCGGTGGAGCTCCCTATGGGGCCACGAAACGCTGCCCTGGGTGGGGGAACCGCATGCGAACACCCCCACTGGGGCCTTCGGTGGAGCTCCCTATGGGGCCACGAAACGCTGCCCTGGGTGGGGGAACCGCATGCGAACACCCCCACTGGGGCCTTCGGTGGAGCTCCCTATGGGGCTACGAAACGCGTGATAGGTGTGCCGAGAGCAGAGGAAGGAGAGGAACGCGGGGCACCGTCCTCTTCAAAACGAGGACCCAACACCACAGGATGGTTGGGAAGGAAAAAAATGGTTTTTTTATGTTTTTATGTTAAAATCGCTACGAAAACTAAGGTTTTGGAAGGATTTCGTCTTGCGCGCGCGAATGTCCACTTTACCTTATTTTTTGCAAGGGATTCTTGAAGTTTGGTTATGTTAGAACAAGAAATGTCCACTTTAGCTTATTTTTTGCAAGGGAAAACCGGGCCGTAACAAAACAACCGGATCCGGACCAACCCGTTTTGCCTGAGACTTCCTCACGAAAATGATGAAAATGTGGCTGCGGCCTAGGCGCGGCGGGGGGGTCATGCACCAGGGGCCCCAACAATAATTATTCTTTAGAAGTAATAATGTTCAACAACAACAACAACAACAACAACAACAACAACAACAACAACAACAACAACAACAACAACAATTACTAGCACGTGGGGACACTCCGTTCTCACCAGTGCCAGGGTTTTCATAGGAGGCGGGCAATACCCCCACTTTGTGGGGGGGCCGGTTCAAGCTCTACCAAATTTCCAAACGACTCTTCGCCACCACCCACACCCAGCTTCCCGCCCTATGACGTTCGGACACTTCACTTCGTGGCATGCGGACGACCGTGGCTACTATTCAGGGCCCCGCGGCCGACGACGACGGCGTGCGCGCGCGAAGAAAAAACGAATGTGTCCCGCATGGTATTATTTGACAGGGATGATGGCCCTGGCAGGTGCGCAACCGTTGTTGCAGAAGTTCGAAAAAGTTGCTCGCAAAAGCCCGTTTGACAGAAATGTTTAAAAAGTGTTGGGTTTCCTACGAATCCGCAAGAGCGCGCGGGATGAAATTTTGACAATTTTTTTTGAAAAACCATTGGTTTTTTGATGTTTTTATGTTAAAATCGCTACGAAAACTAAGGTTTTGGAAGGATTTCGTCTTGCGCGCGCGAATGTCCACTTTACCTTATTTTTTGCAAGGGATTCTTGAAGTTTGGTTATGTTAGAACAAGAAATGTCCACTTTAGCTTATTTTTTGCAAGGGAAAACCGATCGTAACAACACAACCGGATCCGGACCAACCCGTTTTGCCTGAGACTTCCTCACGAAAATGATGAAAATGAGGCTGCGGCCTAGGCGCGGCGGGGGGGTCGTGCACCAGGGGCCCCAACAATAATTATTCTTTAGAAGTAATAATGTTCAACAACAACAACAACAACAACAACAACAACAACAAAACATCAACACAAAGAGAAAGAGAGAGAGATGGGCAAAGAGGCGGAGGAGGGGGGGACCAGGCCAGGGAGCGTGGCACTCCAAGGGGAACCCGGCCGTGGCGACGAAGACGCCCCCCGACGCCAAGCCAGGCGAAACAAGAACCAGAAGCTTAGGCCCTCGAACGGCGGACTCCGAGTCCCCGATTTCCGACGACGCCGACGACGACGACGGCCACGACGACGACGACGAAGACGACGACGACGACGACGACCACGACGACCACGACGACCACGACGAGGACGACGACGACCACGACCACGACCACGACAACGACCACGACCACGATCACGACGACGACGACGACGACGACGACGACAGACTCACATCCGCCAAAAGCCTTGTCAAAGACACATTTCGGCATCCGTCGTGGCCAGATTGCAGAGCCGCGCCTGGCCAACAGCGACTAGAGGTTCCAGAAGCGCAAGGGAAACGAAACGAACACGTCGTCGCCACGACCACCACGTCCTCTCGGCAAGGGTCGTCGTCGCCGTCGTCACGACCACCATGTCCTCGAGGCTCGTCGCCGTCGCCACGACCACCACATCCTCGAAGGAGGAGGTACATCGCGGAGGAGGAACATCGCGGAGGAGGTGGAGGAGGTGAAGGAGGAGGAGGAGGAGGAGGAGGAGGAGGAGGAGGAGGAGGAGGAGAGGGGAGGAGAAGAGGGGAGGAGGAGGAGGAAGAGGAGGAGGAGGAGGAAGAGGAGGAGGGTAGTCGTCATCGCCGTCGTCGACGTCGGTCGCCCGCCGGCCGCTCTCGGGCGGCCACCGTCCTTAGCGGAAGGACGCCGTCGCTGGCCGACGCCAGCTCGGCGCCCCCTCGGCATTGGGGGGGCCAG